AAAAAAAAAAAAAAAAAAAAAAAAAAAAAAAAAAAAAAAAAAAAAAAAACTCTTCTTTTTCAGGCCAAATGTATATCGATTCTACTTGTTCTTTTTCGCCCCCGAGGCAGATTATGAAAGTGGAAAAGATTTTTCTTTACTTTTACCTAATCCAGCTGATATAGTTGTCGAGCTATGACCGGCACCAAAGCAGTCATAATCACTCTCAGACCGCTTAGTAAAACCTGAAAGGCCTTCCGTCTGTCTCAGAGTCGGCATTTTCTGTCTTCGGCCGGTCAAAATCTTATGAGGATAAGACTGAAAATAACACAACCCAATATCACAACAAACACATTAAACTATTATCAACCTAAACATTTTGCAACTTTGTACACAAGTAGTTCTGACAGTGGATATATATAAGAAACTTCACCTGGTGGCCAACATCCCAAAGTATTCTATCTTGAGGAGCATTAAAAATGTAATGAAGGGCCACGGTGAGCTCGATAACACCTAGGCTCGAACCAAGATGACCCCCGGTTTTCGACACGTTGAAAATAACATCCGAACGCAGCTCATCTGCAAGCTGTTTCAATTCCTGCACGTAAAAAGATTCGGCTTTTAGTTGTAAAAGACAACATTTAAGATACAAGAGTGAACTGCCAAAATAAGTCTTTTCAGCTTCCGAAATGTAGATTACACGTCCGAGATGGGAGTATTTAGCAAAGTAAACACAAATCCCAATGGTATTTTGTGATCAGTTTCAGGGGTACTTATCAAACTAGAGATGTTTCTTGTGGGACTTAAAATGCATGCCTCTGAGTACCTTTACTGAGAGATTTTTCATGTGGATTGGGTAGTTGATAGTGTCCAAAAGAGGAGTTGCTGGCTTATGAGAGAAATACTCCCCTCTGTCTGAAAGTGATGCACAAACCCCAGCTGACCTTTTCCTTGTCTTCAATCAAAACAGGACACAGTAAAACCAACATTGTAATCAATCATATGAAATCTTCAACTATAGTTTGATATAATATAAATGCATTGTACAATTTATTTGTATGTAAAAAATAAAAAAAAAAAAAAAATAATAACATGGTCGAGAAATAAACTGTGTACTGTACTTAATATTTTAAATTATTGGAAATACATGCATAGCACCTAAGACGCTTACGCGAGGACTAGGCGACGCCTAGGCGGTGATGTGAAAATATTAAAAAATTCGTTCATATCTATTATCAAGCATAACATTTAAGATAATTATATAAAATATAGTAATTAATACGGTCAAAAATAATGATTTTGCAAAATCTAATGCATTAGTGTTTTAGTTTTAATATGCTAATTATTATTTTTATTGTACAATTAATGTAAATTTCATGCATAAAATATAAAATTATTTCTATTTTTCAAAATAAATTGAAAATTTTTGAAGAAAACAAATACGGGCGCCCACCTAGCTAGCCTAGGCATGAGTATAACTTTGCAACGGCCTAGCACGCCTAGATGCCGTCTAGTTCTTTCGCCTAAGATGACCGTCTAGGCAAAAATTGAGGCGCCTAAACGCCTTTACCGATTTTTAGAACAATAAACATTAGACATAAGCTGACTTATTTTTAAAACAACACACAAAGAAATAAACTAAACCCACATTTATAAGACACAAATGTAAAGGCACAACACAAAGCAAACCAAACAATATAGACCACACACACATAACATGGCCCCTTATCCACAAGACTAAACCACATAACAATCTCAAAAGGTACTACCACATTTTCTCCTCCTCTTTCTGTCTATGGTCCAAATAATGGGGAAAAAGTGTAAGAAAATCTCAAAACCTGGTAATTCTTGCAGAAGACCAGACACTGTAGACCCATCCCATTTAGCCATTGCAAACATAAACTTGGGTGCTTCTCAAAATCAGCTCTCAATCCCTTTCTCAAGCTCCCAGAACAAGGAAATGTACACAGAGCCATTATATGTTTGTGTGTGTGTGTGTGTGTGTGTTTTACCCAAAATGGAAAGAAGAAAAAGATAAGATCTCAGAGACCCAAAACAGATACCAACATTACTCAAACTTTTCACTCATAAAGATTCAAACTTTACAAGGTATTCACGCAGGAAGGACGTTCTTGAATCTTCTTTTCACTCGACAAGGTTCAAGTTTCAATAGGGGCTTTTAGATCTCAGCTTCTCAATTCTGATGAACAAAAACGAGAGATGAGATGAGATGAAGAGATTAGTAGGAAGGTTGTTTTCTTGCTTTCTGCTGTAGTGATGTGAGGGGGTTTGTAGTTGGAGGATTTAACTGGACAACACAGCATTGAGCATTAACCAATTTAAAGTGTGAATTGGAACAGAAAATGAGAGAGGAAGTGCTGTATGAGGTGTCATGCCCCTGTTGGGCCACCTCAGCCGAAAGATTCACAAAGGGATAGAGAGATATGTATGATAATGTAATGTGTATTAATTAGCTAATGGAGGACATGGGGGTAGGCAAGAAATTTTTTAATTAGGGGAGACATATTATTGTAGCTATTATTGGACTGACGCAGTTTGTTCGTTCGGTCCAAACCGATTCATTGACCATGGGTCTTGAACCAGCTCGTGGTTTTGATCAGTTCGATTCATGTATAGTACTTTATAGTTTATACATTTTGAACTTGCAGTTCGGTTCTGAACTGCAACCGGAACTCGATGTTTGGCCTTTTTTTAAAAAAACTATTATTTTAATTATTTTTTATTTTTTTAATGAACCATGCGACCAATAACCGACAGTTCAATGTAACGGCCCGTACATATGTTCGCGCCGGTTCAGGGTTCTCCAACTCTCGGCCCGGTACAAACGGTTTAGACATGTAACCGGTTTTGGTTATAGTTAGAAACAAATTATTTGTTAACATATGTCCGTTTGAATTGGAAAACTCAATTTCGAATCGCTTATATATTTAAACAAGTCAAACTCAAATAGCTAATCGAACTTGACGATCAAACAAATAGTGTCGAACATGGTTGCAATCAACCCTGTACGAGTTTTCTCTTTATCTAGGAAATGATGTCAAAGTAATTATTGGAGGCGAACTCAACAAAAAAGAAATAAATAATTAAATTAAAATGAATAACGGACTGTGGAATGAGACATACCCAATTAAATAGCTTGTTGGAGAAGTATGTGTCAAACTTAATTATCCAACTCATTTAATATTTATCAAGTCAACCAATTAAAAATTTAAAAGCCAAGAGTGTGTTGAGGTGTGTTGGGTCACATTATAAACGCAATTGATAAAATTTAATAAGGTCACAATTGTCATTGGACAATAAAGGATTATCTTTGTTCCTCACTACAATGACCATCTTTTCACCATTGTTGTCAGATAAAAAATTTAACCTGAAGATATTCTTGAGGCATTCAGTCCAAAATTATATGGGACTACATACAAAATTAAATGGAGCTAATGGGTCTATGTATAATTTTTTTTAAAAATAAGATTAGCAAAAAATTACATGGGGTTGAAGCCCACCCTAGCTTTAAGTGGCTCCGCCCAACTACACAATAACACAAACATAATCACATCAAGTTTGCCATAATATAGTATCATATGGTTATACACCAAAGATGAATTTTAAAATCATCAAATCATACTTCTACTCATTAAATATATTAAATTTTTGTTAAAATATTAGGTTAAAATAGCATTATTCACTATGAAAAGTTGATGTTGGTGTTTCACTTTCAATTTGATTTATATGTTATTGAGACGAGATATATTGTTGGAATATCGCTTGTAAGTTGTCTCATATTTATTTTATAGAGAAAATGAGTCCAACTTATATAACTAGCGGGTTACTCCTAACATCAACAAGTGATTTTAAGAAAGAATTTCACTAAGGTACACCTAGGCTCACACTCCTGTGTGGGACAACACCCTCTTCCACTAATTCTTACATGGTATCAAAGCCAGACCAGTTCCGGCCTGGGTCTATATCAACCAAGCCTACTCCGAGTGTTCATTGTGAGTTGTCTCACGTTGATTCTATAAAAAAAATGAGACTAGCTTATATGCCTAGTTGACTACTCATTCAAAATGAGACTAGCTTATATGCCTAGTTGACTACTCATTCAAATTGCTATGGAGGGAAAATTGGATGATTTATATGCCTAGTAGGCTACTCCTTCCAATTGGTATAAGACACTACCAAAGTGCAATTAGACTCACCGTCTTATGGTGTGCTTCAGGTGCAGACCTATGGAGGGGCATGTAGGGGCACATATCCATGTAGAAAAAAAATAGTGATATACACTTGTATTGTAAAAAGATACTTTAAGTTATTTATTACGTAAAATGTTTATTTTCTTCAGATATTGTATATATTTAATTATTAATTAAATAAAAAGGTGGCAACTCTTTAACAGTAGAAATATCGCATTATTTCTTTTATAATTCCATCTTTGAGCAGATTTTTAATTTCAACTCAAATTGTGTTGTATCTATTAATAAATATATTTTAACTTTATGTAATCATCTGATGTATTAAGAATAAAAAAATATATATGATCTTTAGAGCTTTCACAATGTCAATGTATAGTCAACTCAAGATTTATAAACTCTTGTTATTGGTTTTGAAAATATTGTATTGTAGGCGTAATTATAAATTAGCTAAGAAATTGTATTTGTCACTGAATATTTTTATTAAAAATTATTATAAATTAGCTACTAAATTGTATTTATCATTGTTTTTTCTATTATTTTTTTTTTT